TATATATATATATATATATATATATATATATATATATATATATATATATATATATATATATATATATATATATAAAGCGCTTCTTTACAGTTTTTCTGATTTATAGACTTCACACGATATGCGTATTCATTTATATGTTAATTTTGAAAAGTACAATGTTATCATTTTATATGATATTCAATTTTAATAAATAGAATATATTATATATAGAATAATTTATATGTATGCGTATATATATAATATATTACTCGATTATTGTTTCATGATAGATTTACCCATTGCCGCGAACACACCCCAATCAACATTTGTGCCATGATAGCATGGTTTTTAATTTTGATATATATAATATATTATATATAGAATAATTTACATATATGCGTATAAATAAAATAGTACTCCAATTATTGTTTTATGATAGCTCTACGCATTGCCGTGAACACACCCCAATCCGCATTTGTGCCATGATAGCAACAAACACGTTTCTGTTCAAACTGCTTGACTACCGTACTTGTGGATGTTTCTGTCTCGTGTGCCCCAGAGATAAAAACTTTTCGTCAAGCCACTTTGCTTGTATCAGTTTCTTAAAGAGTTGTTTTTGTTAGAGTACAATGTAGTAGACTTAAATAAAGTGCAAATGTATGTATTTATTTCTGACCTCCCCTTTGGTTTTATACCTAAGGTGTTTGTGCTAGTGTTCAGCTGCTTGGGCTGGCCAGGGTAAAAACTCATGGGCTCAGTATGAGAAGCCTTATGCGGAACACTTCAACACTTCGATACTTTTCTATTTCAACTTCTCTGCAACCAAATCTTACGTTGATCACACGATGCCTTTCCGTATAGGTTGTGACTCACATAGAACCGCAGCTATTATTAATATGTTGTGGTTGACAGGCTTAATCCACTCTCGGGAATCGGTTGAGAAACTAAATATGCCCTCGGAAGTCGGTTAAGTAATAACTCAACTCTTGAGAGTAATTTGTGCAACTTGATTAGCTCTCGGGAGTGAGCTATCTCTGATGACTTAGCTCTCGGGAGTGAGCTAACTCTGCTAACTTCCATAATCAAAGATGGTTTCTTGCTGTAAAATCTGGCCTGAGACCTGTTTTTGGTGGGCCCTAATTCACCCCCAATTGGTCCGGACATACTACAATAACTACAGAATCGGAATGACTAGCCACGGCATATTATGGATTCTTCACGAACATCTAGGAAGCTTCCTTCTTCATGAATAGCGGGTACTAATTTATACCCGTTCAGTACTGGTCGATAGATAGATTTCCCCCAAACCCTGTCTCATCACTCTACTGAAGTACTATATTCAGATTTCGGTACAGACCAAATCTTCGAATACCGCCTATGGTACTTCCATCTATGGCTAGCCATGATATTCGAGATACATCAGTTGTGTGGTGTGGTATCGGGCAAGTCTCCAACTTCGCGCTCCGAAACAGAATTTCGGATGACAACTTCATCCTTCTTGGTATCATGTTCAAAATATCTCAGACCGACTTGTCAGCCCATATTACCTCGGCTGAAGGGTAGTGTACGTTGGGAGCACGAGAGTAGAGTGTATTGAGTGAGTGACTATGAGTAAAGAGGAAGTGTAACTAAAGAATGGTGCTGTTGTTAGCAGGTTGGGTGGGGAACTATGAGAAAAGTGGCAGTGTGTCTAAATAATGATTCGTTCGAATGTAAATTTGCGACCGTGGGGTAGCAGGTGAAGGTTCCCCGGGGAATATACCCGTCGGTTGAGTGGCAACATAAGGGGGTACATATGGCCGCAGCACCTGAACATATAGTCGCCAAATATGTTGGGATCTCGATTTTGTGCATCACCTGGTTGGACCGCAAGAAACGGCGACTTTCTGAAGTATCATCCTGTGTAGACTTAGAATGGTTGACCATGATATCTAATAGAAGACCAGTGGTAATTGGGTCCGTTGCAGAATATGCAGGCACTTCTTTACCAAAAACTTACAACCCGTCATCTCTTCGCTTGTTGCACAATGTAATTTCGTTGTGTGGCATTAAGGGAACTGGTACTGGAGGCAAGGACAACTGGGAACATATTCGCATGCTACGTGATTGTGATCTCATATCCAAAACTAAACGTAGGATCACCGCAAAACCTTCACTGCCGTCCTTCCGCCGGATCACCACCATCTCTCGGGTGCTACCTTTTGTCGGAGAGGCATGCGATGCAACATGGTCCGCCGGGACAATTTGGTATCGGGTGCCGGTGTGCGGGAATATTTGCAGTCGGCGTCTGTGGATACAATATCTGACTCGGAGAACTGTTTGCCAGGTTCTCCAGGCCAACAATTAGGTCTGGTTCCGCCAGGGCTTGTAGGTTCGATGCTTCCAAAACCACGTAACAGGGAATTCCCCCCGGAATCTATACAAACAGTGACATTCCTTTTTGCATGCATCCGAGTACAGGATGAGCTGCTGTGTGGAAGAGGCTTATAGAGCGAGGACCTGCTTCGTTTGCCATTAAAACACGGAGTTCTTCTTCGTTAGCCGGGTGAGTGAATCCATGGTCCGGGCATACTGTGGGATCATCCCTGACCACCAGGATAGCATGACAAGCAACGAGACCAGTTTCTTCCGATTCTTCAGGGCCGGTGCCGTGAGGAAATTTCGAAGCCGTTCCGTACGCCTTCCAGAAGGTACACCGGTTGGTGAAAGCGGCTGTCGTCCGTGGAGAAGGTCAATAGATGGCGACAGCTCGGTGCCATCAGCAGCTTGCGGTATGACGTCGCCAAGTCGATGCAAGTCATGATAATCGCCCCTTTTCGGTGTTGAGTATATCCTCCTCGGTGGGAAGCGTCACTGGCAGTTTGAACAACTGCGCGCTTGTTGCCGACCAGTCCGCTGTGAACTAAAACTGACTGTCCATCGTCGGGGTCACCCGAGCGTCCTTCCTTGCCAACAGACTCGACGCAACCCACAAACAAAAAGGGCCACCCGGCTCGATGTGTCCGACCGTATGAAGCTTGTAGACCAGCCGACACCTTGCTTGAAAGGATCCTTCGTCCCGTAGACTCGGTGGACTGGCTTCGCTGCTTCCATTAGTTTGAGGTCGACCATCACCCCATTGATGAATTTCGAGACGCACTTATCAATTTGGACCGCGAGAAACTTGGCTTTCATCGCTTCGACTTAAATCCCAACTTGTTGAGGGTCCTACCTGTGTACTCCAAACCGGTGAAGTTGTACTCGTCAATCGGCTGCTCCGGGTCAGGTATGTGTGGGTCACGGTTAGTACAGTCCAGGTTGTAGAGGATTTCCGGCGACCGGTAGGCCAGGTTTTTCATTCCGATAGTTCCGCCAAAAATCAAAACACATGTACGTAAGACCTTGGCGACGAAAGCACGTCGGCTACTCCAGGATGCCAAATCTCAGCAACTACTGTCAGGCACGGGACCAACAAATGCCACTCTTTATCCAGGCCTTAGTGATCCCGCCCTCGTTGCTGAATTTCGGAGCTACCTCGACGGATTCACAGATGGATCAACGCTTCTAGATCTGAATGACACTAGTGAGAACGAATGCGGAGTAAACATTGAGTTAAAAGATCTGTTGGACATTACATCCGTTTTAGATATCATTGACAAAAGATTTTTCGCTTCCAGAATCATATGGCCAGGAAGAAATGGCAAAATGAACAAATTGAGAGGATGAAAGAAGATGTAGTACTGATACTGTCATGATAAAGCAACTTTATTTATCTCAGTGGTATTTACTTAAAAGTACTACGGCAAATGTAGACATAGCCTGCTTGGCGCTGCGATTATGTATAGAGATGAAGTGAACGGTGAGTTGAAATCATGCTTCTTGGATATGGTGATGGACGACGCTAATTAAAACGCTGAAAGTGTGCAATCATATAGCATTTCATATCAATAGACGATTTTCTATAAAGATCATGATGCAAAGTGACAATGCTGACGCTTTTGCATCCACAAAAACATTCCCAACAGTTGTGAAGATCAATAAGAAGCTCAAAGATATGGAGGTGGACTTACGTTTCACAAAATGGGTATTCTCGGAGGCTCAACAAGGTACTATACAAATTTATGTATGATTTATGCATGTGTCTTTAAATGCGTGTGTGCATGACTATGATATATTTTAGCTATGATTTCATTTCTACTCCAGGTAAATCTATCTTGGACGCGCATTTTTCCTATGTAGCGCAGTACATAATGAACTGGATAATTTCAATGAAGAACATAACTAGCCTCCTCGATATATACTATACACTAATCTGTTATTGCGAGGATACGAAGAAGGGTACGAAGACTCTCGTTAAGACTGCTGTCGCATATGCGTGTGTGCGTAGAGGTGTTGATAGTGTTATTCCAGATTTAGATGCCAAAACGATGAAAGCTATTCGGCACGGGACTCAAGAATTACATGACGTGACGTTTGAAGAGGACAGCTTTACGGTAAGCTCTCAAACATTCATTCTACCTCAAACTCTGGTTTTAGCGGTGCTTTTGCAGATGACTATGTTTTGCAAGATTTTGACGAAGAGTTTATGGATAGTGACGCGGTCGATAAAAAGTACAGATAAAGGAACTGGGATGAAGCGCAAGTTTACTACAGAGACCGGTGGTGAGCAAGGAAATGTGCTTGTTGGCATTATTCTGGATTTCGTGAGTGGAACTAGTGTTATCGTGCGATGTGTACGTCGTCAGCCCGAGAGTAATTTGATCAAGTCCCAAATTACTCTCGGGCTGACGACGTAAAACGTTATTAACGTATATAGGAATACGTCCACTACTGTAGTCTCTCAACTAGTGTGGTACTTGATGCAAAGAAGGCGAGATTGGCTAAAGAAGCAAGGCAGAATCGTGAAGTGTTGCAAGTACAAACTCAGTACCATTTGGAGTTTGAATATAGGTGGATGCTGAATTAATGTTGAAGGTCAACAGACAATACTGCAAAAAAAGACAGCGCGGGAGGGATGATTGTGTGAGGTTGGGAAAGGAAGCGGCCGACCTATGTGCTGTGTGGTATCAGCAAGGTGTCGCTATGTATCACTAAAAAGATTTCAGCAGACGTTGCGCTGCAACAAACGTCTTCTAAAAAGTGTTGGCAACAACTGGGTGGATATCTTTGCAGTCACGATTGGAAACGTATAGAAGGAGTACAATGAGACAAAATACGCACAAATCCAATTTAGGGTTTTAGGGTTTAGGGTTCTGCGACCTTACTATTGGATGCAGAAGCAAATCCAATACAAACACCCAATTTGCCAGCCAGAGCATTACCTTCAGTTCCCATCTTTCGGGATACAACAATGCCTACTGTTGCATTTCCGATTAGACGTATGCTTAATGGTCCAGGCATATCTTTGACAAGTACACACACAGTCGACTCTATACTTGAACCGCTTCAAAAGAAACATCGCAAGCAAGTGATAAGGATCACGTATGTGTGCACTGCTGAAACTTGTACGACCAAGTCACTCAAATTCACAAAATCGAAAAGCCGCAAGAAGCAGTGTCCCGCATTGACGGCGGATCCAACTCGTTGTAAAGATTTGTCAATAAATAAAGATCAATCAGGTACATCACATATCTACATATACCTACGTATTGCTCCTTACCTTAGAGCTTCAACTTTTTAGCTGAACTTGGAGTTAGAGTACGCGCATTGATATCTGGAGGGGTAGCCGTTGTCCTCATCAAATTCTTCTGCCATTCTGCGACTTTCTCTGCGGCAGCTGGTGCCGTGGACTCGATAACTGCAGTAGCCACATCATTGGCCTGCTTCCTCTGCCAGTTTAGCCCTTGGAGCACGGGCATGCCAATGGCTGATTTTGAAAAATTACAACTATTGAACATCGCATTATGGATGTTGTGGACGATCTTCGCCTTCAAGGGTAATGGTGTCCTGTATAACACGTTGAACTTACCAGTAGTTTCGTCAGCATCGTCGCCATTGAATACCATGTTAACGGTCTGAAGAGTAGGCTCGGCACTCCCTGGAAAGTAGACGATCCGTGTAAATACAAGCTCTGTACCCGCCTCGCTACACATAAAATTCCAACCACCTCGATCACTGCAGTTCTCGATATAACCAGCTACTACAACACAACGCTCTATATCCCTTGCGAGCGGACAAGACCTGCCCTCCTGCCAAAACACTCACTTTGAATATCTTTTTGATCTCACTTATGCCACTTCGTACCTTTCCTAGCCCATGTGTCGCTTGTCTACCTAAAACACTGATACCTGTATCAGACTATGGTACTGAAGTTGTAAGTTTCTTTGTATCGTCCTGAGGCAAGATTGTGGTGAAGACGGGCACATCGACGGGCAAACCTACAGATGCAGCTGACGCTTTCTTTGGCTTCTTAGCGATACCCACCTGATCAAGGTCTGTAGGAGACACTGGCATTGCATCAGATAGATGTAGACTTGGCACACAACCAACGTGTGGTTGTTTTGTATTTTTGAATGGTACCATTCTGTCCTTAGTGAAGTGAGCGCTACACACTTTCTCCACTGAATACGCTTTAGTTCGCCCAGCCAATGGACATCTCCATTCAGGTCGCATGCGATGGAAAGTTATTATGCCGACCGCAGGCACATTGCCACATTGCCACATTCCAGGACACAACACCTACCGCCGGACATTGTTGATGATCCTCTCTTAATGACACGTTTTACTGGCTTTCTTACAAACTCACACGTTTGTAGTGGCGACACAAATAAAGCACACTAAAGCTACGTACACAAATTAAGCACACTTAGCTACGTGAACAAAACAAGCTACTGAATTTACAAAAATGCACGTTTCGTTGCCACAGTGTGTTCACATTATTGCCTTCTGTGGACAAAATATAGCCAACGATATATCAAATTTTAATTGTATTCTAATTCGTAGCCAAAACATATCAAAAATGTACAAACTGTAGCCAAATTCTTTTTTGTAGCAATGGTATAGCTAAAGTAGGAATACCCCTATGAACTCGGGTCTATTCATCGTACGTGCACGATCGAGGTGCCGTTATTTTTGTAATAAAGTCCTCTTTTCATTGGTGAAATCCCCTATCCAGTAATATTCTGGATTTATACACAAGTGACCATAGTGCTGAAAACGCTAAAACTATATATGCCCCAAATAGAGAGATTATTTTAAAATCTATAAACCCTAGAACTACATATCCCCATCATTTAAACCCTAAAAGTACAAATGTACACCATGACAGTACGTAACCAGTGGTGCAATTCATAGCCTTGTAAATGAACAGAAGGCTATGTGCAATGGAATGTTCGTGGTGTGTGTGTTTTAGTGTCACCAATCTTTTGCAAGCACTAGGTCGTCACAGGAGGAATAGCTCAGGAGTGGTTTGGTAAATACTGTAGCTAGTATACACAAGCACGTAGTAGCAGTACGCCACATATTCCATCACAAGGGCAGATTGATAGATTTTCCAATACAAAAATTAAAGAGTACCACTTTATCGGACCGATGAAGTAGTAGAGTATAAAATGCAACTTTGTCCATTTAATGATGACCGGAATGACATTCAAGTCACACTAACGGAGCGAAGACGCTCCAGGGTGGCGTGTTGCACGCTTCTAAGCGGGTTGAAACCCCGCCATCTCATCAACAACTGATAAATACTATCATTCTCTTGACAGACGATGCTTGTACTGCGCGCACGGCCAGATTTACAACTCGAATGCGATACAAAGGCTGTGCCTAGTTCGCAGGCTCAGGCCTTGACACTCACTATTTGGCGTGAGATGGTTATGTACTCAGCGCAGGCTTCATTGCACAAGCATCTGCACACAGCTCACGTAGCAGAGACGACATCACGGGAAAGAGTGATGAGGAAGTGTGATGGAATATGACAGATGAAGTGAAGTCCCTCATAGCATATATGTGAGTACTCTACGAATGGCACCCGCCATGTTGCCATGAATGGGGTTCATGGCTGTAGCTGCATCGGTCCTACTGCAAAAAATGAGTTCCATGGCTATTGAGTTACACCTGTCTATGAATGGCTTCAAATGCTGCGATGAATGGACTACATGGCTGTTGAGCTGTCGAGTTCGTAGCCATCGCGAAGGTATGCCAGTTCGCCATCAATGAAGGTTGCCTGCACAGACAGGCTGTCGGAGAGTAGCACCAGATCAGCATCCATGCCTGGCTCAAGAGAGCCCTTTGTGTCCTGTAATCACATAAGGGGTTCCGCAGGATTAGCTTCAATAAGAACAAAGTATAAAGATAATCAACCAACTCATACAGTTTAAGCCTCTTTAATCACCAACACAAGCCAGTGGTGTGAATATTTGTGTAGGGTTACAGGCGCAGGAGTCGTTGAAATTCCACTCCGTTGACTATTTATGCCTGTGGACTAGTACTTGAACATACCCATCACCTGTAAAGTGCCTGTATGTTGTGTCTTCAGTTTTCAAGTACAATCCAACTATGAACACTTTGAACTTTAAAGCTCCACGTCAACGAGCAGGTCAACCGTTCGCGCGTACTCAACGGAGGTTTCGCATGGCAATGTACTATACAAAGGAGGTTATGACGGTTAGAAACCCTACAATGAACCCAAAAGCAATTCACAAACGCACCTGCACTTGTACCGCGTGGGCCGGATGTGTCGTGGCACAGGCCAGCACCTCCTCTATTGAACAGCCGGTGAAGTCACGGAAGTTCTTAATGCACGTGACATGGTCCACAGCCGACCCAGCGAGTGTGTTAGTGCCAGCTATAACAGCACGGATGCCTTCTACGTCCACAGGCAAATCACCCAACATGTGACGCCCCTCAGGCAACCCCGCAGCAGCCATGGCATCAGTCACCAGACACAGACCGTCTGGTGCAGCACCACGGCAGGGGATGATCAGTTAGTAGTTGGCATGGGAAATGTAGCTAAGTGTGTTAAAAAAGGAATGTAGCTAAGTATGTTCACAGGGAATGTAGCTAAGTATGTTAACAGGGAATGTAGCTAAGTGTGTTAAAAAAGAAATGTAGCTAAGTATGTTAACAGGGAATGTAGCTAAGTGTGTTAATGGGACATGTATCTAAGAATTTTATCGGGGAATGTAGCTGAGTGTATTAACAGGGAATGTAGCTAAGAATGTTAACCTCTGGCATTCGTTAAATGGGGTTTACAGTACTGTAGACCTTCAGGGAAGTGTGATAGAAAGTCAATACGTCTGTTGACATTTGTGGGAACAGTCGTTCATTAGATGTGCAACTGTGTACGCACAGACATAATAATCCCTATACACTCACCCACAAACTTAAATATACGTATTACTCACCCACAAACTTAAAACATACATATATGAAAGCATATGGAAGGAGATAATTTAGATGTGTGATGTGTATTGAACGAAAGAGTGTTGGTACACACAACCATAACTGCGAGACAAAAAAGACGGCACTCCGTCACCGTTTAAACAAATGAGTATATAACAAATGTCCATTGACACACGTCACGACTTTTCGGAGTACCGTTCCTCTAATGCATCGGATGTGTGCGCACGAGAGCAATCACCAGTGCACATTGATCTGCTGCGGCCAACCGTTTTTACAACCATAGCAATTAGGTACTTCTATTTGTTTTAGGGTTTAAGAGTTCTAGGGTTTAAGATCAACTTCCCCTACAATGTAACGTTAATAACACCACAAACTCATTTGGCTGATCCTAACAGGACAGTTGACCCCCATGTGACGTACCTGGGTGCGTCTGATACGCTATGCGTATGGAATTAGGGTGCGAATGGATCCCATCGGCGATGATGCCGTAGTAGGGTCGATAGCCCTCTTTGCCCAGCACACCCACCAGCCCAGGGTCTCTATGGTGAAACGACGCCATGGCATTGAACATGTGAGTGACAAGAGTACCCCCCGCCTCAATCCCCGCCACAGCCTCAGCCATGTTGGCACTGGAGTGGCCCAGCGACACCAGCAGGCCATGCTCTCTCAACCCCTGATTGGTAATAATTAATAATTAATGACTAATAATTAATTGTTAATAGATAACAATTAATAGCTATTAGTTAATAATTAACAGTTCACAATTAATAGCTAGTAGCTATTAGTTAATAATTAATAATT